CATGTTTTCGTCGTGCATCGTCCCTTTCTCCGGACGGACTTCATGTGTGTAGGAGCGAGCCCGACCGGCAGGATATGAATCCAGGCAGACGGATGGTGGTCATCATGCAGGGAGCATATGTGTTTGGATCTGTATTCCGTCTGTCTTTCTCTCCTTCTTCGGTTGTCCGCCCCCCCCTAGTTGAGGAACGGGGCAAAGCTGTCGAGCGTGTCACCAAGTCTTACTTTGACGGGTACCTTGTTCACACCCATGGGCAGCTTGAAGCTATGGGTAGATATGATCTGCTATGCCCCTATCGACGGCGTGCCGAGGTAATCGGGGCTTTAGGCCTGCATCTATATCTGCCAACTTATCCTCGCCGTCTTCCCTCTGACGGCATATGCCTGCTATCCTTCCTTCTTGCGGGATCTCCTTTTCACTTCGTTACATTTCCCTTCTTTGGACTCTCGTTCTCTCTCACTGTCTGGAACTCGCAGGCCCTGCTGATCTAAGTCATTCTTTTCACTTTTTCTTTTCTGTTTCTGAACGCTTGATATCACATAACTGTCGGTTCCCTGATGAAGACTACATCATATTCGCAGCCCGACCAAGGCAGCCGAGTTCTTTCGAACAGAACACAGACACGCCAGGATAAGGTATTTCATCATGAGAGTCTCCTCTCTGGTTCGAAGACTCCTTTTAGCTGCGGTGTTGCTGCCCGCGCCCCATTTCGTGTTTGCTCGCCATGATGCCCTGGGCCACAGGCTTCGAGAACGTGATGCGCCGCCTCCAGGCCTCGATGTGAAGCAATCCAGGGCCAGGACCATCGAGGAAAACGGGAAGGGCGCAGCGGAGGAATACCAGCCATATAGCTGGGGCTACGGGTACGGATACCCTCCTGATGAGCCTGAGGCTACGTCAACAGAGGAGGCTTCCGAGGAGGGAATGCCTGCCACCAGCAAGGAAGGTCGGTAGAGCCTCCGCCTCCCAACTTATGACGAGCATTACTGATCGGACGCTTAGCACCCTCAGCAGACATCTCGTCTGGTGGTACGCGTGGGACACTTGCCGCTAACAACACATCATCCATGTCTGGTCTCACGTCTGGCGCCTCCAAGACGTTCTTCTCCGGAAGCCAGTCGTCTGCAGGGCCGACGGAAGTCACTGGAAGCTCAGCGTCCCCCTCTGAAAACCCGGATAGCTCGACAACGGATGGTCCGTATCCACCAGAGGTGTCTGAGACCATAAACCCGGCCGGTAATGGCATATACCCTCCACAATCCTCTTCCAAGTCCGCATTATCGGGCGCCTTTCCAGGGAGTTCGTCCAGCCGGTCTTCCTCAGGACCCGCCAGTATCTACGGTAGCAACAGCGAGGATGTCGGGCTGCCTGAGCCAAGTCTGACGGGCCTCAACAGCTCTACGGCTGCGTTGCCCTCGCAAGAGTCGACGACGGACACATCTCTGTCCCCTTTCAACAACTCCACGATGAGCATGTCTAGGCCACTCGGGTCTATCACGCCCGGCGTCATGTCGCCCCCTGTGCTGTCGGCGTCGGCTTTTCCAACATGGACTGCCACGTCGTCAAGCATCTCTGCCACAGCCCCTTCAGGGGCTATCTCAACCCCTGCTTCGGGAAGTCTCATGTCGACATTGAGCGTTCCTAGCAATGTAACGGTGCCTGTCGATACCCCCTCAACGCTGGGACTATCTTCTGAAGCAATACCGTCAAGTCTCCCAGCACCACAGAATGCTACAGGTATCTCATCGGCTCCCGTGATGACCTCGGCGTCGACACCTTTCAATACTACTGGGGGTCTGACGGCTTCAAGTTCAGGGACAGCCGCCGGCGAGATCAGTGGTACTATCCTACCTGATTCGTCATCGATAGGCTCCTCCGAGATGATAGCAAGTTCGAGTGGACTCGCCAACATCACTGTCCCGGGCATCTCTTCTCAAGGCGCCACCCTTTCATCGGTTGTTTCGGGTTCGTCCTCCGCTATTGGAACTCCCCCAACAACCGGCAATGAAACAGCGCCCAGCCAGCCGTTGATGCCAGGTATTGCCTCCACAACGAGGCCTTCATCGTCGGCGACGCTTGTTAGCGGTTCTGTCGCGAGTGGCACAACTACAACTGGCGTGAGCTCCAGCACCAATGGCACGAACAGCATGGTCAGCCCCTCGACGACAGGTGCTGCTCCATTTCCCTCAACAAACGCCACCATCACCACGAGCCAGTCATCCGGCTCGCGCAATACTACGGATAGTCCGACCCTGCAGCCTGGCTCGGCCGATGAGAGTTCCTCATTAGCCACATCGGGCATCCCCAGTGGCTCGCCGTCTTCTTTCATAGACTCAAGCTCAAGAGTGCAACAGACAATGAATGCAACCAGCAGTACCAACGTGGCTTCCGAACCTGTAACGTTCTCCTCGTCGCCTGTTTTTCCCACCTCGAATGATACAACGACTGTAATCACAGGGACGGTGACCATACCGACTGCGCCAGCGTCACCTTCCAACTCAACCGTGGTGACAATGCCGGCGTTACCAACTGGTACACCACTGTCGTCAGCACCGGCGAACTCGTCATATCCTCCTGACCTCCTCAACACCACGACAGCCTCGGTACCGGCATCCCTGACTGCGAGCGTTCTTCCCAGCCTGTCCAATGGCACCTCGGCCGCTCCCAGCAGTGGCGCGGTGGCGGACGTCTCATCCTCACCCAATGGTTTCGTACCAACGCCTAGTTCTCTACCTTCTCCGGCAACACCTTTCCCATTCCCGAACGCGACGAGTTTGGTATCAAGCGTGACGAGACTCCAGAGCACGACAACCGCGCGGAACACTTCGGCGCCCGTTTCTTCAAGTACCATTCCTTACACTTCTCAGTCTCTGCACAACACCACCAAAGTGGGTCAGTCGCAAGATATCACTTCTGTGTTGCCCACAATGGTCCCCGGATCATCAATGCAGACCCTTGCCCCGAGCCTGTCGAGTTCGTCGGCGCCGTTTCCCCTTTCGAACAGTACTGCGTCAGGCACCATCGCTGGGACGGGCCTTGACACCGTTGAGGCGAGTGCCTCGACAACTTTGTCGCTCTCTCTCAGCCCCACGAGCTCGGCGCGGTTCTCTCTTTCGAATGCCACTCTTTCGGATGCGACAGTGAGCACGAGCATCAGCGCGGCTAATGCAAGTGCTCCAACATCCACAGCCTTGTTACCACTGTCGTCTGCAGAAACGCCTTTCCCGTTCCCCAATGCGACCTCCACGACGTCTGGGCCTGGCGTGGGCTCCGCGAACACTAGCACATCAGCAACCAGCATACCCTCGTCTATGACCCCTGGAATGACCCCATTCCCAATGCCCAATTCCACCGTCTCGGGATCACGTACCATTGCAGGCACGGGGACAAGCATCGCAAATGTGACGGCGTCGACCTCAGTCTTGTCCAGCACAACTACAACTGCCCCGACCCAGTCAGTGACGTCTCCGTTGTCCAACAATACTCTCTCCAGCTCAGTCTCAGGCACGGGCCTCAGCTCACTGAACATGAGCACATCGTCGACAACAGGTGTCGGGTTTCCCACGCCTTCGATCCTGACACCGTTCCCGCTGCATAATGCCACCACTTCAGGCGGTGCCAGTGGTACCGGGGTCGGCACGCCAGACACCATCGTGCCAACGCCGCTCCCTCTATGCACAGCTCAAGCGTACCAACGAGCGCTGGGACTGACGATCTGCGATT